ACATTTCAAATGTCATATAATTGCTCCAGAGTGCACTAGATTTTTTTTTTTTTTTTTTGTCATTTGGTTTGTTAGTATTTTAGGGATTTTAAACAGAAGATCTTGAGTGTCTTTTGTAAGCATGGGTTATTTTTCCCTCTATGAAAATTCCAAGGAATAACCAGATATATAATAAGTAGTGGCTTGTTTGGAGATTTTGAGGTACTTCACATGTTGTGCTTGTCTTGATGTGGCATCTAGGTGAATTCTCTGTGCTAGGGACATGGGGGGCTAGTAAAGATCAGAATGAAACTTTTTTCCTTTGCTGACTTCATGAGGGGTGGCAAACGTTCGTTGTGTCCATTGTTGGAGCACCTTAGGGCATTTTGCTCCATGTATGTTGTATATCACACAGTATACCTTTTAAGTCTAACCCTGGGAAATAATACCTTCCTATTATTGTTGTATCTTCCACTGTTTCCCCCACTTATCGAGCTACTTGCTATTTTCTCCAGGGCCCTCTGTGTCTCTGCATGGATTGTTTTGTCTGTCAAGTTACCTTTTCTTCAGTACCACTCCCACCTTCTTCACATGCCCATCATAAACTGCCTACCCTTCACATCTCAGTTCAAGCATATGTCTTCCTAATCCCCTCTTCCCCTCCGTTTTCACCGAACCTTGTAACTAAGTTATAGGGGTTTTCACATTATCTTTGTCCCTATTATACTTGGCAGCTCTTCGAGGGTGTGGATATTATCCTATATATTTGTGTCTTCAGTGCCTAGTATGTGCTCAGTAACTTTTTGTTAAATGAGTGGAAAGATGAAGTTATGATCCAAACAAAATATCTTTTATAATGAATAAAGAAGAAGTGTTTGAGATGAATAATACTATTTGTCTTTGTTGACCACCACAGAATTATTTGTTCCCTTTGCAAACTATGGAAAATTAGTACTGTAGCTTGCTTAATTTTATTTGCCCAAAATGACTGTACAGGGATATTCGTGTTTCTGAGCCAAGGGCAGACTAATAGTTCTTCAGACTGGCAAACCTTCCTGGTGATCCCATGGAGACCTTCACTTGGGTCAGTGTGGTGGCAGTGCTTTGTGGTAGATTGAAAAGTGTTCAGCTTCAATGACTGTATTATTCATGATTTTATAGTCTTCTCTTTTCTTTAGGTAAACTGTTTACACGTTTATCACTCACTGCAAAAATTATACATTTTTATTTTCCTAAAATAAGCTCTGAACTACTAGGGCTATCCCCTATTACTAATATGAAAGGATCTGGTAGCAAATCTGTACTCATCTTATCCAAACCCTTCTTGACTTTATAAACCGGAGTCTTTCTACATTTGGCCTACGTCTTTTTACATTGAGGAGGGCTAGTGTTTTTAATCCTTTCATACAAATAAACTGGTTCCTTTGATCACCCTTTTTATTTGGATTTGTGTAGGTCTAGAAGGAGTTTTTTTATGTTTAGTAACCTTAAATTTGTGGATTAGGAGGGAATTATTTTTCTTTATTTGGCCTTATTCTGTCTGTATACTTCACTATTTTAATTTTTATTATAAATCTGTTTTCAAATTACACATTATATTTTGCAGGGTTTTTAAGTGAAATGTGATATAGCATTATTTTGTTTCATTTTTGTTACCTCTTCAAATGTAGACTATTAGTAATAATTATTATTTTCTACTATTTATAAATGAAAACATGTCTTAGTTAGACCTAGTATACTTTTCTAAAAACAATAATAAAAGATTCTTGTAGTACTCTGTTGGAGAGATATATAATTATGCATTCTAGCTAAGAATTACATCAGTAATTTTCAGATTGTATTCCAGGGAAATCCAGTTTCGCAATCAACTAACATGCATTTAATATTTACTGTGTCAAATGTTCTAGGTGATTTCTCATATAGTTCATGTTTTTGTGCCTTCAATATTAGTAAACTTTCTAAAGTACTGATATCATCCTAAGGGAAAAACTGATCCATTAAAAGGTAACAAACCATCATTTAAGTTAACCTACTTTTTAAAAATAAGCATTTATTGCATTTGTGGGATTTGAAGATATAGTGTAGTTAAGGTATTCAGAACAACACGGATATCAGTTTCTGTTTAAAGTAATTATATAATTTTTTAGTGTCAAAATTAATTTAACTGATCATTTAGGAGGCATTAAGTATTATTATCAAAGCGGCATATTACCCATTATCAATTGTCATATGTGCAAAAAAATGTAATGATGATAGACTTATTCACTGTTATTTGTCATACATATCTTTTAACTAGAATATGACCTAAGGATGATGTTCCGGTGATCTCTGGGAGATATATTATTCCATCTTCTCAGCCATTCCTTGAGGCTATCTTGAGATATGTCTTCTCTATAGCTTTTCATGATCCCCTTTGTCCTTCTCTTGTGTTCCCCATGCAACTCTATGTATGAGTCTGTTTGAGTACATGTATTTTATTATCCTTATTTGCTTCCAGACTGTGGTTGGATACCCTTCATTGGATTTCTATTATATGTAAATGTGTACACTCTTAATCCTCCTATAAGAAGACAATTCTTAATCCTCCAGGAAGTCTGTGCTAGTTGCTCCACTTATCTGGTTGATTGTAGTTGCTAGTTTATTTGCTGCCTGGGAATCACAACAAAGGCCTTGATTAAATTTCTAAGAAAATAAGGGTATGGATTAAGCTCTCTTGTGTCTCCACAATGCTGTCATTGTATAGTTCTAATCCATCACTAGAAATGTATTGTGGAATTGTTAATGAACATTTGCAGAAAGCTTAGAGAATTTTTAATGAGAAGTAGATACTTGTGGTTAGTCTTAATTGATAGATGGCTTATTAACTGTTTTTTTTTTTTTTTTTTGCACCAATACTACATTGGAAAAATGTACTTTCAGAATAAATTGCAATCTGGTGAAATATTTTGATTGCTTAATAAAATTTAGCTTTTAAAAACAAGCATCATTATGATGACTATAGAAACCAAGAACCTATGCATGTAAATAGTTATAATAAAAAGGAAAGCAGCAGCAATGTATAGTTTTCATAATTTAAAAAAATTATTTTAAGTATGATAGCAGGTTTTTATTCTCAAAGCTTCATACCCTAGGGAAGCTGAGAACTAGAGAGATTAAAGCCTCATTCATTCTTAAATAAAAAAAAATGTATTGAGTGTTTATATATGAGTACAGTTACTCTTTTTGACTTTGAGAGTAGGAGAGACAGATTTAGTTGATAGTATATTTAATTATGGTTAAAACAGAGAAAATGGTACATGTAACTCTGGTGTGTTGTTTGATGAGACTCCACAGAAGAACTGATTTTTAAAGCAGTCTTGTTAAAGAAGATGTAGAGACATTTGCCAGAAGAAGAGTAGGGTAAAAAAGGGCTTTGCAGTAAAGGAGAATAAACTTACATAGAGACCGATAGTTATGAAAGGTCCCGGCTCTTTGAAGAACAGTGTCAAGTTCAATACAGCTAGAGCATTACTGTCCAATATAAATATAAATATGTAAGTTAAAATTTTCTAATAACCATATTAAAAAGAAACAGATGAAATTCATAATAATGTATTTAATTCAATACATCTGAAATATTTATGTGGTTTTCCATTCTTAAAAATGGAGTATTTGATTTTAAAAATATTTCACACTTACAAAACATCTAATTTAGACTAGTCATATTTCAGGTGCTTGGTATCTAGAAACTTAGGGGTGTGTGAGAGAGAGACAGAGACAGAGACAGACAGAGATCAGAGAGAGAGAGAGAGAGAGAGAGAGAGAGAGAGAGAGAGAGAATGAATGTATGCACTCTAGAGGGATCGGTGGAGAGATGAGGTTGAAATAGTTGTTGGAGCCACGTTTTGAAAGGCCTTTTATGCTGCCTGTATTTTGAATCTATCATTTTATTATAGTAGTTTATGGCTGTGCTACTCTAATTATTTGTGGTGAAAGACCAGTTTTTAAAATTTTGAATTTGTTGCAGACTGATAGTTTTGTAAATAGCAGTGAATTAGAAAAGTGAAATACAAGAGACAAAAAAATAAGCAACAGTTTTTAATTGTTAGATTTGATAAATGTACAGTTACTCTGTTAATTGTCTGTACAGGTGTCTAAACAAGTGCTATCCAATAGAACTTTTTATGATGATAGAAATGTTCTGTTTGTGCTCCCAGTCTGATAGCCACTAGCCACAGGTGGCTACTGAGCATTTGAATGTGGCTAGTATGACTAAGAAACGGAATATTTCATTTAATTTAAATTAATACAACCACATGAGGCTATTGGCTACTGCATTACATGGAACTGGATATGTTTACTCTTAATCTCTGTATTTATCTATTGTAGACTAGTGAAAAACAGTTATGGACTGGCTTTGGTCCACAAACCATACTTTGAGTAGCATTGTTTAGAGCAGAGACTCTAGAGCTAGAAAGTCTTTGTAAATTACTTAATTTCTCGCTACTCCCGGATCCCCATTTATAAAATGGAAGTCATAATAGAGTTCTTGTGAGGATTAAATGTGGAGGGGGGCCAGTTAGGGAAAGCACCAAGAAAAGATGACATCTGAAAGGGCCTCAAAGTATGAGCTCAGTAGGTGAAGAGGAAAAGGAAAGCATGTCAGTAAAACTCATGTGAATGATACTCTATTTAGAGGGAGGGGCAGCAAATAACTGTCCTAGCCCTATCTTTGCTACCACCATTTCTTTCTCTTTTCTAGTTATCTTATTTTAATCTTTTAGTATATTTTAAACATAATTACAAAGTAACATGATTCTATGATGATAATAAATGCTGCTTTATTAATAAGGCCAATCACTGCATCTTTACTTATTTATTCCTGGGGGTTATGGTGCCTGAATTTGATGGTAGAAGTTGGGCAATGGGTAAGAAGGGAAGGGGAATCCTGTTTGGAAAGCAGTCCCTGGGTTATGGACAGATAGCTATGAAATTATTTCCCCCTAAAACATGTTTCTTATTTCTTATTTATATAGATTCTTTTAGGAAGAAAACTAACTGGAAAAAAATGAAGTTCCTTCTCTTCATATTTGCTGGTGTTCACCTTTTACCCCTGAACTCCGGAAAAGCTACATACAGGCATGACAGCTCTCAGAGGACTTTTCAAGAAATAAAAGAAGAAATAGCCCACTATGGAGATGTTGCTAAAGCAATAATAAACCTTGCTGTTTATGGTAAAGCCCAGAACAGGTCTTATGAGCGACTGGCACTTCTGGTTGATACTGTTGGACCCAGGTTGAGTGGCTCCAAGAGCCTAGAAAAAGCCATCCAAATCATGTACCAAAACCTGAAGGAAGATGGGCTGGAGAATGTCCACCTGGAGCCAGTTAAAATACCTCACTGGGAAAGGGGAGAAGAATCTGCTATGATGCTGGAGCCGAGAATGCACAAGATGGCTATTTTGGGCCTTGGCAGCAGCATTGGGACGCCTCCAGAAGGTATCCTTTGTCTTTTCAAGTCAATTTGCTGTGTATTTTATAAAACTAATGTCCTATGACATAGTTTATTATGGTATACATGATTTGTATTATAATTTGGGTGATAAGAAGGAAAATTTAATTGTTTTATTTTTATTTATTTTTTATTTAAAAAAATTTTTATGCCTACAATACCTGCTCTTCCTAGGTGGTCTCCAGCCAAGTACTAACCAAGCCCAACCCTGCCTAGCTTCCGAGATCAGATGGGATCGGGGTTGTTCAGGGTGTAATTGTTTTCCATTCCATTGGCTTAATGAGTTCACTACTGTTATACGTTTTTTCTTTTTCTTCCTTCTTCCTGTTCTTCCTTTCTTCCTTCTGTTTCTTATCTTAAAGAAAGGTAATTGTGTAGGGTCATTTTTTAAATGAAGAATATACAGGTATTGGTCTATGATACTTATCAGCCCTATCACTTGATAATTTCTATGTTATGACATTAGTATTATTCTGTAGAAAGTCGAGATATATGTTAATAGTATAGAAAACTATGATTTCTTTCAAGTGCCCTTAATGTGCAGAATTTCTTAGAATTAATGAATTAGAGAACAAAGCCTTGCACATTGAATTGATTTAATTATTTTTACTGAACCTGAAACCACTAATGTAAGGAATTATCCAGGGTAGTTATACTTTTACTTATCACCACGCTGGCTCAGTTTCGTTAGATAACGTAAATGCCTAGATCAGAGATATATAACCAGACAGCAGTAAGCTATCTGTTAGTCTTGAATCTATTCATGCACTATTTTCCTATGGCAGAGGAACTAGTTTATAGAAACTAGCTGACCTTCTCTAAAAAGTTTTTAGAAACATTAAACCTCTAATGCCCTGCTAGAGAAGTGGATGGTAATTTAAATTTTTTTCTTATTGAGTTATAATTTACATATCATTGTATTTACTCATTTAAAATTTACAACTCAGTGGTTTTTAATATATTCACAGAGATGTGCAACCACCACCACAACCTGTCGACCATTTTCATTAGCCCCAAAAGAAACTCCATATTCATTAGCAATCATTCTGCATTCCTCCCCCACCACCCTCCTAAGCCCTACACAACCACTAATTTGTTTTCTATCTTTATAGATTTGCCTATTCTGGATATTTCACCTGAAGAGAATAATGCACTATGAGGTCTTTTGTGGCTGCTTTCTTTCATGTTTTTCAGGTTCATCCATGTTATAGCATGTATCAGTACTTAATTCATTTTTATTGCTGAATAATGTTACATATTACAGATATACCACATTTTATTTATCCATTCGTCAGTTCGTGGATACTTGTTTTTTCCTACCGTTTGCCTATTATGACTAACACTGCTATAAACATTCATGCATAAGTTTTTGTATGATATATGTTTTAATTTCTCTTGGGTATATGCCACGGGGTAGAATTGCTGGGTCATATAGTAACTACATTTAACTTCTTGAAGAACTACCAAATTGTTTTTCAAGGTGCCTGGACTGTTTCACATTTCCACTAATGTATTCTAATTTTTTTACACATACTTACCAAGACTAGTTATTATCTGTCTTTTCAGTTGTATCTATCCTAGTGGGTGTAAAGTGATGTCTTTTTGGGTTTTGATTTGCATTTCTCTAATGACTAATGATGTTGAGCATCCTTCCAAATTCTTATTGGCCATTGGTATATCTTCTTTGGGGAAATATATACTCAAATCCTTTGACCAATTTTTATTATTGAGTTTTTTTGAATTTTTATTATTGTTTTATAAAAGCTCTTCATGTATTTTGGATACATGTCCGTTATCAGATATATGATTTACTAATGTTGTCTCCCATTCTGTTGTTTGACATTTTGTTTTGTTAATGGTAATATTTACTGCAGAAAATTATTTAATTTTGATTTAGTACAGTTTATCTAAATTTTCTTTTATTAGTTGTGTTTCAGTTGGTATATTTCAGAAACCATTGCCTAAACCAAGGTCACAAAGGTTTATTCCTATATTTTATTCTATGAGTTTTAGAGTTACTTTTTGTATATTGTGGGAGGTAAGAATCCAACTTCATTGGTTTTTTGCATTTGGTTATTCAGCTGTCTCAACATCATCTGTTAAAAATACCGTTGTTTCACCATCGATTTGGGTATACTACAATTTTAGATGCTAAACCAACCTTGCATTCCGGTATAAATCCCACTTGGTTATGGTACATAATCTTTTTTACGTGTTACCAAATTCAGTTTGCTAGTATTTTATTGAGTAGTTTTACATCTGTATTAATAAGGGATGTTGGTCTGTAGTTTTACTTTTTTGCGCTGTCTTTGGTTTGGTATCAAAGATTCAATCAGAAACTATTAACCTTATCTTTTTTCCTTTGGAAGAGTTTGTGAAAGATTGATGTTATTTCTCTATGTTTATGGTATAATTCACCAGTGAAGTCATCTGGTCTTGAACTCCTCTTAGTGGGAAGATTATTAATTATTAATTCAATATTTTTCCTTGTTATAGATCTATTCAGACTTTCTGTTTCTTCTTAAGTCAGTTATAGAAGTTTATGTCTTTCTGGGAATTTATTCATTTTAATCTAAGTTATATAATTTTTGGCATACAGTTATTTATAGTATTCCCTTCTAATTATTTTTATTTTTGTGTGGATGGGGATCCCCATTACTGTTTGGTGTCACTTTCTTTCAACTTGAAGAACTCTCTTTAGATTTTGTTTTCAAAGCAGGTCGGCTAGCAGAAAATTCTCTAAGCTTCTTCTATCTTTATTTCTTTATTTAATTTTCATTTTTGAAACATAGTTTTACTGGATGTGAGATTCTTGGTTGAAAGTTTTTTACTTTCAGCACTTTCAATTTGCCCATTGTCTTCTAGCCTCCATTGTTTCTGATGAGAAGTCAGCTATAAATGTTATTGGGATTCCCTTGTATTTGATGAGTCATTTTGCTTTTACTGATTTCAAGATTTTCTCTTTATTTTTGGTTTTCAGCATTTTGACTTTGATGTATCTAAGTGTAGATATTTGTTTTAATCCTGCTTAGAGATTGTTGAGCTTCATGAATGTGTAGATTAATATATTTTATTAGTTTGGGAAGTTTTCAGCTACTTATGATTATTTTTTTCTGCTCCCTGCTCATCCCTTTTGTATCATTCTTTTCTCCTTCTGGTACTTTCATAGTGAGTATGTTGGTTCACTTAAAGGTGTTCCACATTTCTCTTGGGCTCTTTGTCTCCCTTTTCCCCACCTCTCCATTCTTCAGATTGTATAACCTGTATCAGTCTATCATTGAGTTCATTGATTATTTCTTCTACTAGCTCAAATATACTAGTGAACTCCCTCTACTGAATTTTTTCTTCTTAGTTATTATCCTTTACAACTCCATAATTTCCATTTGGTTTGTTTTTTATAATTTCTATCTCTTTATCAGTATTCTCTATTTGATGAAATATTGTCATCATAGTTCCTTTAATTCTTTAAATATGGTTTCTTTTAGTCCCTTGAACATAATATAATAGCTGATTTGAAGTCTTTGCTTGATATGTCCCCTATAGCTGGGCCCCCTCAAAAGCAGTTTCTATTGCCTGCTTTTTTTTCCTGTCTTTTCATCTTAAATATAGCATAAAATAACTTAAAATCTTCAGTTTTCAGCTACATGTATATAGATGTATATATATGTAGCTGAAAACTGAAGATTTTAAATAATATGTTCTAGCAATTCTAGATACGGATTCTTCTCCATTTTCTTCCCCCACCCAGTAGAGACTGATATTCTTTCTGTTCTTTGTTTTGTCCTTTATTTGTTTAATGATTTGATTGTATTGACTCTGTGAAGTCTGTTTCTTTTCCACAGTATATGAATTTTGATGTTCCTATTCAGAGCGTTTTTATTTTCTTATATTTTTACTTTTAATTCAGCTCCCTAGGAGTCACCCCCAGGTCCGCATAAGCCACTTAATTGGTTGAAAGATGTGCTTAGGTTTTCTTAGCTAATTATATTTTTACCCTTTACAGTTGGGTATCTATGTGGCTTGGGGGCTGTTATTAAAACTTAGGGAGTTTACATTTTGCCCCAAGATTAGCCAAGGCCTAGTAGCTGGGAAGTTCCCTCTCCAATTAATCTTGAGAGGGCACAGCCTTGGACATTCACATTGTCTTCCAGTCTTTTAGGATGCATGTGATTTTATATTAAGCCTGACTTAATTATAATTTCCCCTGGATTATATTATAATTTCCCCTGGAATAGCTTATATTTCACCCAGTTTTTGGTCAAAGGTTGTGGTAAGCCTCTTGTGCCAGTGAGGCTTCTGCCCTTTGTTTGGTAGACCTATGTGCAACTTGGGAAATGTTTTCAAATATGACCTATGTTTTGTTTTTATTGTTCTTGAGTAGGAACATATTCATAGCCTTTCTAACCACTAGGGTTTACTATGATGCCAGGAGGGCTTTTCTTGCTTATTTCTTTCTATGGTTCTTTCTGATAAACTTTTGAATGTTCTGCCATTTTGCTTTTTGCTGGCGTTATCATGAAGCTATCAGCATCCACTTGATTGCTTTCTACTAAGCTCTCCATTAGTTTTAACAATACCCTTATGTAAGGAATTCTCTATTTTGCTGCAAACAAAGTCACTACCCCCCAGGTAATAACTGGGAAACTTTATCCTCCTTGCTTGCCTCTTCCCTGGGAGAGCCTCTGTACTATGTTCTGGAGGTAGGCACAGTGATAGTGGCTTGCTTCTTCAAGAGTGGTATCCCTAGCAGGCATCAGGCAGGAAGGGTGGTAACTCCTGGTCTTCTCAGCTTGCCTCTTCCAGTGTGGAGCCTCTGCCTGTGAGTGAGCTGAGATAGATGTGGTCAGAGGCCCAGTGTTCTTGGTAGCTACACTTGGGGTCACGTTTCCATTATATGAGTAGGGGCTGGCTAGAGGGATGGAGACGCAGCCATCTTACAGCAGAATGCCCATAAAGAGTTTCTGTAACATGGAGCTGGGAATGGGAG